TATTTTTTCCTACCGACTGCTTAAATTTTTTTTTTTTTTGGAAACAAATATCATAACTAATTGTAAAATAAAATTTCACTTTAATGGACAATTTTCATGTAAAACAAAGTCAAACGAATACTAAACTTTAATGAAAAAAATGATTTTTTTAGAAAAAAATTATTATTTTTTAAACTTTTTGATAATGGAAACAAATTTTATAATCAATTGTGGAAAAAATATCACTTTAATATACAATTTCTATGTAAAATTAAGACAAACGAATACAAAATTTAAAAATTTTTCACCCAGAAAATTATACCAATCAAAGACACTTAATTAACAATTTCCTGCAAAACATTTTCTAGCCAATTATTTTCCCTGGAATTCATTTTCTTTCCATCATTGCAATCAAACGGACCCTTAGATTATTAAAAATTACATATAATAAACTTGTATTTCTATTAAAAAAAGTAAAAGACATTATGTATAAAATTATAAATAACTTTAAAAGGAAAGATTGTGTGATAATCACACAATCAACTATTAAGAAAAATTATCTTATACAATTGGAAAAATATTATAAAGATTATTTGTTACAATCTTTCTATATCTTCAACACCCCTCCCTCAAACTCAATATGGTGTAGTCACAATAGTTGAGTTTAAAAATTAAATTAATTCAATCAAATTTTCTTCTTCTAATGATCGAATGATACTTTAAAATTGCTTATATGCCAACCAAGCTAAACAAAGAACTCAAAGTTGTTAAGAATGAAAAATCAGATCCAAAATCTAATCAAACAATCACCAAGACTTGAAGGAGAAACTCACAAGTATAACGAACAAGGTCAAAACAAGAACCTCAAATGGTTTTAATAACCGATAGGCAAAGACAGACCACATTTAATAGTAACACACTGAAAATTCATAAGTTGTATCAGTACTACACTTGTAGATGAAGGAAATACCGATAAAACAGGAACTTTGGCCCACGAGGAGGCTAAAACAACAGATGTGATGGAATAAATTCGATGAAAAACATGATAATTCTCGAAAACCAACAAGAATAGCCAATATCTAACAGGATTTGAATTAATATAAAGTCCAAATTCAGAATAAATCAAGAACAAAAAAGGACTGATAGAATAAAGAAAAAGAATTTGACTAGACGTTGATATTTAATCAAAACAAGAAAACTTGATAGAAGGACAGAGCTTTGGGCATGAAATGATTTTTGATTCTTCCTTATCCAAATCCAAGGCAAGAATGGAATCCGTTTGACAAAAATTCAGATGGTTACTCGTAAGCCAATAAATCACTCCATTAACCGACACAGGATGTTGTAGGTTAAGGTC